TATCGAAACCCGGATTCTAGCGTTGTAAGTCCGCAGACACACCGCTGTGCTACTGGGGGGGGGGGGGTCCCTCGAACAGAGTTCGAAAAAATGAAACGCCGTTTATATTTGATTAGGTGTTACAAGTACTATTTGAACTCCATCTTAGGAGTTACAAGCACTATTTGAACTCCATCTTAGATGTTACAAGCACTATTTGAACTCCATCTTAGGTGTTACAAGCACTATTTGAACTCCATCTTAGGTGTTACAAGCACTATTTGAACTCCATCTTAGGTGTTACAAGCACTATTTGAACTCCATCCTAGCTGGTTTCTACTCATTTTATTAAGATATATTCTACTGTATTAGGATTCCACGTAATGTCAGACTGGACTACCTTTCTCTTGGACTTGACAAGACAAACATTCCCAGAAATGACGGAAGGTATCTTGTGCGATTGTATTTTAATAGTAGTCTACCATCGGTTCATAAACGTTGTCAGAGAATTACGGTGACGAATGCAATGTTTATGTGTATCCCAAGGATGGCCAATTGAAATGAAACCCGGTAACTGAGCCGAGGAAGATGACTTAAACCACTGTTAATTGTTGAATTATTGTCTCGGAAGAGTCCTTGTCCATCATGATTGAATGAAGTTTCAGGGGTGAAATTAACATGATCAATAATAACATTGAATTTCTAGAGAAATCAAAGGACTCAGGCTCTGTTACTAGAACGTTCCTTACATCACTACACTATTTCCTACAGTTTTTAATGCGTGACAACACAAGCAAGGTTAAGTGTCTCGTGTGATTGTCTCCATATTAATATTCTACTGCTCGTACAGAAAAAGAGTGAAACGCGTTTCACCAGACAACATCATACGCTTTGAGTCAGTCGTTGTACCATTTTACACTCAAAGCACGATTGAGTCTGTGCTTTTCTAATTACATCTGAAGTAAGTGGTTCTAGGGTTAAACGTTGGATACCATACGGCACTATCTCTACTATTGCTTGCATGGTAAGATTGGAAATAATGTTATCTTGATCACTGATTAAGGAATTAATAATTAGAACACTCTATCCAGCCGTTAAGTGGGTCTATCATTTAACCATATATATCTTTATAAGAAAGGGACAGGTTAAGTGGATCTATCATTTAACCATATACACCTTTATAAGAAAGGGACAGGTAAAGTGGGTCTATCATTTAACCATATACACCTCTATTAGCAAGGAACAGGTTAAGTGGGTCTAACAGTTAATCATATACATCTTTATTAGCAAGGGACAGGTTAAGTGGGTCTATCATTTAACCATATACACCTTTATTAGAAAGGGTCAGGTTAAGTGGGTCTATCATTTAACCATATACACCTTTATAAGAAAGGGACAGGTTAAGTGGGTCTATCATTTAACCATATACACCTTTATAAGAAAGGGACAGGTTAAGTGGGTCTATCATTTAACCATATACACCTTTATAAGAAAGGGACAGATTAAGTGGGTCTATCATTTAACCATATACACCTCTATTAGCAAGGAACAGGTTAAGTGGGTCTAACAGTTAATCATATACATCTTTATTAGCAAGGAACAGGTTAAGTGGGTCTATCATTTAACCATATACACTTTTATTAGAAAGGGACAGATTAAGTGGGTCTATCATTTAACCATATGCACCTTTATTAGCAAGGGACAGGTAAAGTGAGTCTATCATTTAACCATATACACCTTTATTAGCAAGGGACAGGTTTATCGGCAGTTGTGTTGAGCTTTGGACATATTGTGAGATAAGACAATTTTTACTGTTAAGCGTATATATATATATATATATTTAAAGTTAGGAACTGTTTAAACCACAATGACCATCAGCTGAAAACACTTTTTAAATGAAGCGTATTGTTTCTTAAAGTATACCTTAGTTTCCATGAAACTCAAAACCTCAAACAGAGAAAGAGATAGACAGAATGAATGATTAATATTTATACCTTTCTAATAGCTCTAATTGCCGACTTGTGCTGTTTTGTTAAAACAGTGAATTTTGGTTCCTCTGTTTCTTCTTCTGAAAGCAATAGAGAGAAGTCAGAACTTACACTGAAAACATGGATAATAATAATAAAAAAAAAATGTACAGCATTTGACAAACCTATCTTTATTCATCATGAAAATATTTGATATTTCAACATTTTACAGATAATGCAAGAAACTAAACACGACTTAGTAAGTAATTACAGTTCCTAAACAATTCGTGAATGCTTATTTTTTTCAATCTTTTATAGTCCAATCAAATAACGATTTGCAATATGATCCCAAATCACCGTATCTATTCAGTTTAAAACACTTATTACATAAAGGCATTTTATAACAGCAGATGTGAGCATTATAAGAGGTTTCCAGATTAAAAATCACATGCAAGATCATAAAGCATAATATGTTATATAGCATACATTCTTTATCGGTGAATGTTGTGCGGGAAAACTGTTTGAAAAAGAATCCAGTTTCAAAATTCTTAAGTTATTCGACATGACCAATAAATACATCGGACATACATAATCTAACCCATATTGTATTCACACAAACAAGTACGAACATCAGACAAGGATTAAGATAATGAAAAAAATTAACGATAAACACTCATAGGTTTTTCATGCAAATGTTGAAGAAATAAACATAAAACAAATATAGATTAAAATTAGTTGGACTAAGAGTATTTCTTCGATACTTTGCAGCTGTAAACAGAAAAATAACTTAAGCAAGCCATTGTACTGGGTCCAAATATGATATATCCAACATTATATGCATTTACCTAGAAAAGCAAAACGAGAAAATTAAAAAAAATCATTGAGAAATATGCATTTACGACCATAAAAAGCATTTGCTAATTATGGCTATATATTCTCGTGTTTACGGTCTGAAGTTCAATTTAAAAGGTCAGTTAACATTCATTTTTTGTTCGAATTATTAGTGTAAGTAATTGTGGTTAATATTTTGTCTGTATTCATTAAACTTCGGATCTTTGCATTATTATCCTACGAAGTTTGCTAAAGTATATGGATAGATAGTTTCCACATCTTCGCTCTCAAGCCTGTCTCAAACGTTTGTTTGTTTTGAAAGAAATAATTTTCATTTTTAAAGAAACTGAAAACTATTTGTCGTTGAAAAAGAAAACATTAAAGTGATATTTTTGTTTCCGTAATCTGAAGCTCTGTTTCCTACACGATAAAAAAATGGCATTACTCTGTTTTTTGATTTATTTATCACAATTTACAAAGTACATATTCGGACTATGCTAAATTAGTGCGTAAAACTGAAGACATGTTGAAAAACTCATTACCATACAGCGGGGAAGAGGCATCTTACCCACGTAGTGACTTGCTTCCATTTACTCGCATAGAGGACGCTGCAGGCATTGCTACTGCAAAAGCCGATCTTGAAAAATAGAAAATGTTAGTAATGAACCCAACGCTATCATAACTTTGCCATTCTTTCCTGCTTGTGCTAGAACACTAATGAAGGTTTGTTTCTGTCGCATGTTCCTTTGAACTGTAGACTTCTGTTATAATAAACAGATGCCAGTCAAGCTCTTGGTACGTTTTGTGTACAAAAGAGGAAACGTAACAACAAGTTTCATTCGTATTTGATGCCTGGTTGGTTGTATAGGGTTTACATGAAAATAAGCAGGAACGATGACTACAGTTGTTATTTAAACATTGATATAACGAAGTATTTAGATTATCTATTAAAGTAAAAAGAATGCATAACTGATAGAATAAATTGTGTATATTCTAGATTTTATAAGTCTCAAATATGTAACAAATAAAACTGTAATAACTTATTATCTACATGCATAAAGCACAAAAATGTGAGTGTCTGTTTGTCTGTCCGTTATAATAACTACTCCTCGGTCGCTGGGTCAATCTCAACTAAAATTTGTGGGATGATAGTTTGGAACAAGGGGCATGTTAATGACGATTCATAACCCCTCCACCCCATCACCTATTATTGCTATTATTGAGCATTTATTATCTTTGACGTAAGTTAACGTTAACTATATTCATATCTGGCGCCGCGTCCTTACACACAAACACAAAACTATTACATTTTCTATAACACAATATACACACAGTGTGTGTGTGTGGTGGGGGGGAGGACACACAAATGTCTTGTATATCTCAGAGAGTGCGCTAGTGCTCTTTATGGAAAATGCAATGAAAAAGAAATGGCCACCACTATTGCACTGATACACAAACTTAGATGAAATTACTACTCCAACAGTCACCATAAGTCTGCTATGGAGAGCTGTTTCTTGAGTTATACCCACTTCCCACTTTGATCCGTGACCTTATAACTTCAGGACATAAGACAATTCTGCGACCATTGACCGTCAATTAATTAATAACGTGAAACATTGTGGAATGAAATGACATTAAGAGCTGGGCGTTGAAAGCGGGTAACAGAAAGCACTCCTACCACCACTACTTTGGCCGCTACCTCTTTCGACAAAGTCACCCTGACCATAGCACAGTGTATACCATGTATATACTTAAAACATGGTATACCCTGACCATAGCACAGTGTATACCATGTTTTAAGTATATACATAGTGAGTTCTAAAACCTTATACCAAATGTTTGGTGAGGTAATAATGAATGCTGTAATAATGTTATGTTATAAATAAATTGTGTGAAAGTTAGGATTTTTGAGTTGTTTATTACAGCATCCATCTCCACATTTTCTTAAGTTCATAACCCGGACAAAGGATGAATACCTCAGCTTGTCCTCAATAATTCTTCCTATCTCTACTGAAGAGATAGACTTGTATCTGATTGGTCACCCTTATATCCTTTTTAGGCTCCGATGGGGGTCGATTGGCCGAAAACTTTTAAACATCTTTTTTTTTCTATCGGTTATAATAGTTCTTAACACAGCATACTCTATGTATGAAGTTTTCCATATATAGTTTTGAAAGGAATTTCATGCTTAAATTTCCTTCGCAAACATAAAGTTGACATAAATTAACACTCAATCAAGGTGTCTTTCCCAATTCTGAAGGTCGACGACAATGATATTATAGTGTTCTCTAGTCCCCACTGCTTGCACCAATTTTCCTAATTCAACCTTCTCATCTTCGATCCATTTTATTATGTCATCTTGCTCTTTTCATTCAATTTTACTATAAACCCAAAGTGGCACTTCTTCCATTTCCTACACATATCCAGTAGTTGTCTTTGCATGTACCAATACTTCCTCATTAGTTTCTTTTTATATAACCGATCTTTATCATTCGTATATAACATCACATTTCAAATGGCTTCAATTGACGTTTTGTTTCAGCAGACAGGGTCCTCATTTTCATCTCATAGTAAGACTAGTCATATGTAACATTTTATCGGTTTCTTCTTCTATTATCTCTTCTGGGAAATTCTTAGCGATTGGAAAAATACTGTTGTTGCCACTTCTCTTCTTCGTTTTCTCTCTTTTCCACACTTTCAATCATTATCGATATTCATCTACTTGTTCCAATTCTTTACCATCTAGTTTGATGTATGTTTTGGGATATTCCTTAGGTCATGAAAATACAATTGTCTTAGTTTTTTTGACATTTATTCTGGGTCTATAGTATCTCCCTTTATCAAAGAGCATGTGAAGTAACCGTTTTGTCCCTTCTTCAGATTCGCCCATAAGTGTTGCATCATCAACATACCTATTACAACAGATTTTATTTCAGTTAACTTTGATCTTTTCTCTCTAAGTAACTGTATCTCTTATCAACCACTATGTATAAAAAATGATACAGTTTCCAAGACAGCGCAAATCCTCGTTATACATCTCTCTTAAACACAAACAAATTCCTCATTTTTCCGCTAGTTCGAATTGCTTTTGCTTGACTCCAGTATAAACTGTTCAAGATTCTAATATCTGCTAGACATACCAAACGTTGCTACAGGATCTCCATTACATTCTCATGGTTAACCCAGTAAAAATATTTCTTTTTAACTTCTATGGCTCTTTTACCAAACTTTGGCGGGCCCTGGACTCTTCTAAAGCCATTTTGACCTTTCAACAGCTCATTCACAACCTTATGTTTAATTATATTAAGGATTACTTTTAGCAATATTTTGAGATGTAACTAATAAAACCGATAGTCTTGTGCTGACCCACACTCCATAGCCTTAAGTTTCTCGGGAATTTAGAGAAAAAAAAGAAACAGACCCTTTAAAGTATGTTAGCATTGTCTCTTTGTATATTGAGTTTCAAATCGCAGTCACATATTTAATTCTTCAAATGCTTATTTATTTACAAATTCTGATGGTATCTCGTCTATGCAGTAAACTTTTTATAACTTAAGATGGCTTTTCGTGCCTCCCTTTCCAGAAAGCCATTAGATGTGAAAATAGAAAATCATTAACTGGTTCTATTATTTATAGGATTAGTTCGTACATAAACGCCTGATTTTCTTATCCACTTCACTATATTTGTGCCCCCTCTTGATAACTGTGTTTTAGTTAATTTTTTTTAGAAACTCCTCATTCATCTAAATATTGTTTATACCGATTACTAGGTGTAACCAGGACCATAATCCGCTCTTATATAAATTCTAACTATTACAGGGCTGTCTTATTCTTGCCAATTTAGCGTGTTGCTATGGTGCACTCAGATGAATGTCTCTAGAAATGTGTTTTATATTTAACAAAAATATTCAATTTTTTTCAATAGGAAAATGTTATATATTTATAACGTTTAACAAAGATATCGCGTTATTTTGCGCAAGGTGTTACACGTGCCGATAAATCGCGTGTTTTCAAAGGGAAAAAAAATGTGCCTGTTTCTGTGAGGCATATTTTTACATACAACCAATACTCATATATGTTTTCATTGTTTGTATTTAAAAAATAAAATATCAGAACTGCATGTGCGTGAATATGAATTAAATTTCGTTCCAACTCGCATTAAAAATCTACAAGTTCAAACTGAATCTGTCATATAAAAATTAATGAATGGCTCAAAAATAACATTTTAAAAGCTAACCAGCCAAACTTGTAGAGTTTATCTATAAATTCATTTAAACAGCATTCGTAATTGTTCATCACTACAATTTTGTGGTTGTAATAAAAGTCGTGTAAAGTAAATATCGGATTTTATGACAGTACCTTATGCCATAAGTAAATATCGGATTTTATGACAGTACCTTGTGCCATAAGTAATAATCGGATTTTGTGTACAGTACCTTGTGCCATAAGTAAATATCGGATTTTGTGACAGTACCTTGTGCCATAAGCAAATATCTGATTTTAT